AGCCAAGCAAGCGTATGATGATGATAGTGATAGATAAGCCTATAATATAAAGTATAGAGAGAGAGAGAAGAGAGAGAGAGAGAGAGAGAGAGAGAGAGAGAGAGAGAGAGAGAGAGAGAGAGAGAGAGAGAGAGAGAGAGAGAGAGATAGAGAGAGAGAGAGAGAGAGAGAGAGAGAGAGAGAGAGAGAGAGAGAGAGAGAGAGAGAGAGAGAATAGATAGAGAGAGCTCTCTCTCTCTCTCTCTCTCTCTCTCCTCGCTCTCTCCTCTCGCTCTCCTCTCTTCTCTCTCTCTCTCCTCCTCTCCTCTCTCTCTCGCTCTCTCAGAGAGAGAGAGAGAGAGAGAGAGAGAGAGAGAGAGAGAGAGAGAGAGAGAGAGAGAGAGAGAGAGAGAGAGAGAGAGAGAGAGAGAGAGAGAGAGAGAGAGAGAGAGAGAGAGAGAGAGAGAGAGAGAGAGAGAGAGAGAGAGAGAGAGAGAGAGAGAGAGAGAGAGAGAGAGAGAGAGAGAGAGGAGAGAGAGAGAGAGAGAGAGAGAGAAGAGAGAAGAGAGAGAGAGAGAGAGAAGAGAGAGAGAGAGAGAGAGAAGAGAGAGAGAGAGAGGAGAGAGAGAGAGAGAGAGAGAGAGCGAGAGAGAGAGAGAGAGAGAGAGAGAGAGAGAGAGAGGAGAGAGAGAGAGAGAAAGAGAGAGAGAGAGAGAGAGAGAGAGAGATAGAGAGAGAGAGAGGAAGAGAGAGAGAGAGAGAGAGAGAGAGAGAGAGAGAGAGAGAGAGAGAGAGAGAGAGAGAGAGAGAGAAGAGAGAGAGAGAGAGAGAGAGAGAGAGAGAGAGAGGAGAGAGAGAGAGAGAGAGAGAGAGAGAGAGAGAGAGAGAGAGAGAGGAGAGAGAGAGAGAGAGAGAGAGAGAGAGAGAGAGAGAGAGAGAGGAGAGAGAGAGAGAGAGAGAGAGAGAGAGAGAGAGAGAGAGAGAGAGAGAGAGGAGAGAGAGGAGAGAGAGAGAGAGAGAGAGAGAGAGAGAGAGAGAGAGAGAGAGAGGAGAGAAGAGAGAGAGAGAGAGAGAGAGAGGAGAGAGAGAGAGAGAGAGAGAGAGAGAGCAGATGGGAACTACTACGAGAGAGCCCATTTTGTTTGCATTAGAGGCAGGTAAAACAGGCCTTTGTATGGTGATAGTGAGGGTGATATGATATAATTTAAAACAAGCATATGACATGTTCTTATGTCTTTAGACAGCACAGGGCCGGTCTACACCGCTCTGTTCTGTTTCAAGGTCACCTCTATATGTGCCGTGGTCTTCCGTACTCATCATAATTTCTCTCTGAAGTTTTAAAGCCTTTCCAATCACGAACTTACCAGCGTGCGTCGCTCCAGCTGATGTTTGCCTGGCCCGCAGCCAACCGGCGCCGCTTATTGGTGGTTTTGGCGGCAGCCAATGACAGCGCATGAAATGTGTGCGCGTCGTCCAATTGGTTGGTAATGGTGGCAACCGCGAGAGTCTGTTGTTTGGAGCGCTTAGCTGGAGAGCTTAGTGCAGGTGTGTGTCTGAAGCGAAAACATGGCGTCCAGTCCAAGTTCGACTCCTAGTTCTTCGAGTCTGAGTCTGAGCCCGGGTTGTATCGTTCAAAGCGCGAGTCAGAGTTTTGGGTCCATGCCCGCGCACGTCTGTTAATGCTTGTGTCCGAGTCGAGGGGCGCTCATTTTCGCGGATTGGGCATTAGCTCGAGTGTGAGTCCGAGTCCCTGGAGATTCGTCCTGGTCCGAACCCAGGTGCTTGGCTGAGTCCGAAAGTCCTGAGTTAGATCGCATTGGGGGGGGGGAGGGGGGAGGGGCCAGTAGCGCCGACTGGGGCACCCTCCCCTCCTGCCGGGGTGAGAAGGAGGCGGCGCCATATAGCCCGAGCAGCTAAGACCAGCGCCAGGCCCCAGTGACGACGGTGACTCATCTGCATCAGGCTGTCAAAAGTTTGCGCGATGTAAACATCGTTTGCTGTCAAAGTATCAGGTGCAGAGGCAGTTATGGATCACGACCGTAACGGCAAGCTGCCACGGATTTGGTAAAGGAGCGCCACAAGGTGTGTGTCACGTTATGGCGTAACGGACACGTTACTCGAGCTGACTCCGTCTTCACCCTGTCGCACCCTTACTTGACCTCGGGTCGGGTCAGCGGTGTAATAGGTAAAGCGTAGAAGGTTTGAGCTGAAGCCCACTGCAAGGTTTTGTTGGCCGGTGCTAAATATTGCTCAACCTTGCTCCGGCGCATTGGACCTGGCCAAACCCAACTGAGACCAACCGAAACGAGCATGACCCACCCACCAGAGCTTAACGAGCATGACCCACCCAACAGAGCTCAACGAGTATGACCCACCCAACAGAGCTCAACGAGCATGACCCACCCAACAGAGCTCAACGATAGACCCACCACAGCTCAACGAGCATGACCCACCCAACAGAGCTCAACGAACATGACCCACCCAACAGAGCTCAAGGATGACCCACCCAATAGAGCTCAACGAGCATGACCCACACAAGAGAGCTCAACGAGCATGACCCATCCAACAGAGCTCAACGAGCATGACCCATCCAACGGAGCT